ATAAAAAAAAATATGTTAATCATCTGTGGTCTTCTAGATGACATACTTATTGTGCTTTGTGATGATCTAAATAATTAGTTAGTTCTCTACTTATACCTTGTACAAACTGATGGGTCAACTTCCTTTTGTTGTAAATAAATGATTATCCTTACAACTGATTATTTACATGAATCCATTTATAATTCATTTTATGATCCAAAAAGGAAATCATCAATTTTTTTCAACATCTGGGTGAGATGTTTTAAAAAATTAGCGCCTTTCAGCATTTTGTCCATGAGTCACGGCTCGGAGCTTTATTGCCTTGCACACAATGAGTTAGTAATAAATCACGCCCAGTGGCGGATCCAGGGCTGGGCCAACCCAGGCCCCGGCCCAGCCCTCATTCGGATCGAGAGTTAGTTTAGTGCTTATAAATTTTATCGATTTAGGTATTTGGCCCAGTGCTAGTTAAAATCTTGTCTAGTTTTATTTGATAATAGAGTTTTGTGTAATTAGGAAAATGGTTCAGATGAACATATCCAAACCATCACTCTAAATTTATACTAAATTTTCTATACCCCAAATGATTTTATTTGAAAAAATACATAAAAACCTAAAAGAGTAAAGTTTCATTAAAATAAAAACTCTAAACTAAAGCACACCCTTCCTTGCAAAATTAAAAAAAATTCCCAATCCCCCCAAAACAAAACAAGAACGAGGAGACGGGCAGACCCAAAATGGATTTCTCCGCCAGCCCGTCGAGCTGGTTTTCTTTCCATTCTTTTGATTAAGAAAATATTTACAAACTTGTTGAGTTATCATTTAAATTGCCTCAATTGAGTGGGACACTAGATTCTAACCGTTCTTTCTGGTGTTTTGATGTAGAAAATATTTACAAACTTACTCAAGAGTTTAGCCTCGAGATTTTGAAGGCTATGAGATGCATTCTTTTGGAGAATGCACTACTCATGTGAGGAAGATGAAGTTTCTTCTCTTGCAAAATTATTAGAGAAGCTGGAGGAAACAGGAATGGACACACAATACAAATTGATTTGTCGGTTGATTTGTCTAGTGTTGACCTAGCCGTTTCAACAACTACCATGGAGAGAATATTTTCATTAATGGAACATGAACATTGATTTGTGCAACAAAATGAGCGATGAATTTCTCGTTGATTACTTAGCTATTTTCTTTGAAAAAGAGTATATTATCAGTATGGATGGAGATTATATTATTGATGAATTTGTTAAATTAAAAGATCTTCTTGTACAATTGGCATTGTAATGAAAAACTATATTATTATATATTTTTGTTTATGGTATCTAATATTCTATTCAAATGCGGCCCAGTGCTCTCTTATGTCCTGGATCCGCCGCTGATCACGCCTGCCACTCTGAGAGTGATTACATAACATATGATCTTCTAATTGCAACTTAGAACCCCAGAATCTAACAAAACCATGTCTCGCTTTTGATTCGGGAATTTTAGTGCCAATTCTTGACATTCTTCCCATGTTCTTCGTCCAAAATTTTACAAATACAATGATTGATCCACCAAAGTGAAAAGAGAAGCCAAAACCCGTTTGCTAAAAAAACGACAATCGTTCCATTTATCTGCCAGGTTACCAGCCCAATATAAACATTGAGCTCACAAATATGAAATTAAACTGTTGTTTGTCAACTTTTAAAACTGAGCCAAATTATTTCCCCCGCCGAGAAATAGGAAGCCCATTTCGGCCCTCCATTTACTTTTTATTACCACTTACATTCTGCTTCCACACACTACCCCATTAATTAACCCTAAACCACAATCTGCGCCCTTTCACTCAGCAATCTAAAGGGTTCGAAATCAGTCCTCCCGCTCGGCTCGACCAGTGATTGCAATCATGCCACGTGATTACCAGCTCCTTGTCGACCAAGAAGGTAATATATACATCTTCCCCTGAATTTACATATAGCACATACACGAAATAGAACTTAAGAATGATTTCGGAAATCCATGCCGCATATCCTATCATTTCCTTTGCAACTTTTCAAGGCCTGTGTGTAGGAGTGTATAAGCAGATGCTCATAGCTCGACTCCTAAAGAAATGTGCTCACTATGTGCAAGTCTCTGGGAAGCCGCCCATGATCATGCATATGCTGTGCTCACTTTTCTAACACTCGCTTTTTGGTTCTTGCATTTACTGTTTAGAAACTGGAATTCCGAACTGCCATATAAGAGTAATGGTTTTGAGATTGGTCGTATTACTAATTACTCTTTATCCAAAACCCCCAATGAAATTGGTTAAAAATCTTGAAATTGCCTTGCGGGAACAACTTCTTGAAGGCTATGCTGAGGGAGAAGCCGCTCAAGAGATCTATGACAAGGTCCGTGTAGGATGGTTGTACCACATGGAGGGCTTTATGATTATCACTGCTAGTGAAAAGAACCGAGTAGTACCTGCTAAAATCCAACTGCGCTTCACTGAACAACATACTTTCAGTCCTGTGAACGAGAACCATGCAACCCCAAGTTTCCCACTAAATCAATTCCTTGAGACTCCATTCGAAGCTGTAACATTCATCACATACAATCTACTTTGCTGCGCAGGTAAAATATATAACGCTTTTCTCCGCAACAAAATGCATACGCTGAGACCATCACGACTCCCAAAGTCTTGGCAAACAGGGTATCCAGAATCCAACTTAAACTGCAGGATGCAAGGTATGAATCATTGACACAGTGTGGGTGCAACATTGACAGTTCAGATAGTTAAAGAAATCTTGCTATTTTTGTATCTATAGTGGTGTGATGGCCACACTCGACTACTTTGGTATATATACCACTCGGTTCCTACAACTCGCAGCAGGTGCATGATCTTGCTTGCCACTTATCATTATATTTACAGCAGCGGGGAGGCAAGCTGGCACAACTGACAATGAATCTGCATTTAGTTTCCTATCTACCAACGCCAGTCGATTGATCATAGGGACATGCAATCACATTTATGAAGACATTATTAACATGTTATCAAAACAGTTTCAATTAGAAATCTTGAACATCCATCTATATACCAACATTTGCTCAATTGATTGCAGACACACAATACTACATATTATTGTCACTTCTTTCAGGTTCAGTGGATTTTGCTGGCCCATCACTTTGGTGGATAGAATTACTAGGAAGCATGCTGGCGATCTTCGGGGACATCCTCCTCGCAGGAAAACACTTGTTGAGCTTTCAGAGTACATGGAATCCTTTCCAAAAAAACATGAGGTATGAACTAGATTCGACTGCCTAGCCGATGCAACTGCATTTATTTAAATACCAAGTTTTTGGGCACTATGGACCTTTGTTAACTGCCCATCTGCAAATGTTGTTCAGATAGTTTATTTATGCATGGTGAAAATGAATGAATTGTACTATGGTTCGGGGATCTGCAAGACCGTTCCTGGTTGGGAGATCTTTGTTAACCTAACCTACTACTAAACAACCAACCAAGTGGTTGGGAGATCGCTAGAGATGAGACTGTTGCTTAGGGTCAAGTCATCCTAGCTATGGTTGTCATGTTTGGTTAAGCGAATGTGGTGAGTGAGCTCTTTTCCGTGGGCCTTCGTGATGATCTACACGCCTATAGCTTCGCCAATTCAACTCTCCCTCATCATCGCTCGTTTGGTACATAAAAAAACTCTTCAAGGAAAGCTAGTGACTTAGCTACAATTTCGCGCTCTTCAAATTTTAGATTATTGAACAAGTGAATGTTGCGTTTTTTTCCACATATAACATACAGTTATAACAAAATAACTTAGGTCTTCATCTGGTGTTCTTTCGATTATTTCACATAGCCAACCTTCGCAATTCTAATCCTTTCCCCAATATGAACAAATTTTACAGTAAACTTGGTCTCTAAACTCTCCCTGTCCAATCACAATCCCTTGTTATATGTTCTTGAGTTTATTGAAGCCCACAAAACGAACATTCATCACAAGCTTCCATGATTCGTTTGCTCACATTTCCTCCAGTAAGGGTATTGCTACCCTAACGCTATAGGAGAACTCTCACATTTGGTGTAATTTTAAGATGCCATTCCATGCGCCAACCCACTAAAACATACCGCTCTTCTTCCATCTCTGCTTATTTTTTTCATTCGAAATAATCATACTTAACTATGTTTTCAATTTTTAGAAGAGAAAAAAGGAGAAATTGTGAAGATTTTACTTTTTGTTTTCTTTTTCTTTTAATTTATTGAAGAGAAGGAAAGGAGAATTTCGATGTTTTCAATTTTTTGGGAAGAGAAATAGGTGGAATTTTGGTGCGTTTAACTTTTTTGTGTTTAAAAATTTGGCGATTTCAAATATGAATATTGAATTTTCATGTGAGAGTAATCTTAACTAGTAACCCGAACAATCCGATTAAACCTTAACCGAACTACCCACAGCCTAATGAACCCGTAACCCGGTTAACTAGCACCTTAAAAAAACTCCAATCCGAATTACCCATACCCAACTACCTTGTAACCGATAAACCCGAAAACAAATTACCTGTAGCCCGATTGACCAACAATTCAACTAACTCGTAGTCCGATTGAACCCAACCCCCCGAATCCGAATTACCCGTAACCCAACTAACATGTAACCGATGAATCTGAACATAAATGACCCACAACCCAATTGACCAACAATTCAACTAACCGTAGTCCGATCGAACCCAATCCCCAAACTCAAATTACTCGTAACACAACTAACATGTAACCGATGAACCCCGAACATACATTATCCGTTATCCGATTGACCAACAATTCAACTAACTCACAGTCCGCGGTTGAACCCAACCCAAACCCACCGGATTGACACCTAGACTCACCTAGAGAAAATACATTTAAGTCCAATGAAGATTCTGTTAGCAAACGGAAAAGAAAAAAAGAGGAGAAGAGGGCTGGGAGGAAAGGAGAACAAAAAGGAAAGGTGGAGGGAGGGAGCACCTGCACAATAATTGGCATCAAATGCTTATGGGGATTCGCACTGTGCTGAATTCCAAGATCTGAAAAAATAAAATGCTCCACATTATCATTCATTTTCTTTCCCTTTTTCTCCCCGAATTTTATTTCGTTTCCCCACTATTTCCTAATTCTATTCCCGTTTATCTATTTCAAAATAAATTTTTATTGTTATATTCTTCCTCTGTTTAATCTCCCCCCGTTTCCTTTTCATTTCTTTTTTAATCTTTGCCCCCACAGAAAATATTTGCTCTCTTCTTTGCTCGTCACAAGGCAAATCCATGGAGAAGAGTGGGAGGGGGAGAGAGAGTGGGAAGAGAGAGAAAAAGCGAACGCAATAAGCTCCCCCAATTAGCCAATTAGGGCTCAGCCCAGAAAGCGAATCCCACTGCTTTCCTTCCCTTCCCTTCCCTCGTCGTCTCTGTCTCTGTAGCTGTTTAGGGCTTCTTTTCATTTGTTGCCATTTGGAAGGAGTAGCTTGATTCTCTCTCCCCCCCTCTTTCTTTCTTTCTGTATTTTGGCTCCAAATGAATGAATTTTGGAATGAAACAATCTGTCTCTGGCTCTCTGAAGTTTGGCAACTAGCTGATGAAGATTGAAGAAGCAGCAGGAGCTTTAGCAGCTGTTCGTCAGGGATTCTGAAAGAAAGGAAAAGAAAAGGGGGATTACAACTTTCTGTTTGATTTTGTGGAGCTGCCAACTTCGTTTCCTGTTTTCCTTTTTGCTGGGGAAGTGGTCCTCGTTGCTGCGGAGTAAAGTTTTTGTGACTGGGGTTTTTTCTTTAGGGTTTTGTCGGAGTGATCTCCAAGCAGTTTGAGCACTTTCTTCTCTGCTAAAAGTCGGCTTTTTTGTTGTCCAGAGATGTGGGTTGGAGTTTCAGGGAGGTAACTTTATTGGTTTGTTAAGGTTTGGTAGTGAATTAGGACAACGGGTAAATGGAAGCCACTGAATCAAGCATGGGATTTCACAGAGACGAAACCTTGGGCTCTGTGCTTGGGGGGCGGGCAATATCTTTTCAATCAGGCGCAATTAACAGCACGTCGGAGATGATTCCCATGGGAAATTACTTCGGGATGAGTAGTTGTACTACTATGGGTATGGTGATGCCCGGGAACTCCACCATGGCCAACAACAACAGCAACCCTGGAATGGTTCAAGTGCCATCTTGTAACTCTCCTGCTTCTTCTCTGCTTCTGGATTCTGTTCCTTCCTTCAAAGCTGACACAGGCTTGGCTGTTGAATGGTCGGCTGAAGAGCAGTACAAGTTGGAGGAGGGTCTTGAAAAGTAAGTCGCTTTTTTATTTCCCTTACTTGGGAAGGTTTCCGTGCTGTGTGGTTTTCTCAGTTCTAGACTAGTTATTCCGGCATCTGAGAAAGATGCAATGAAAAGGGCTCAACTTTTGGTAGCCACTGACTGGTCTTTCTACAAGTTCCTTAAATAATTCCCAAATGTTGTGCTGCTGCCAGAGTCCGGTCTAATATAGGTCGGTTTTTGGCCTTTGAGCTAGCAAATACACGTGAATTTCTGTTAATTCCTGCCAGTGCCTCCCAATTTCCTAGACCTTCAGTTTTCTGTCAAGGAAAAGGAAGCCGTTACAGGCATCAAGTAATCTGGTGTTGTGGTCACATATGCAATTCATTATATATCCTGGGTTTACAATTACCTGATATGTTCACATTCATTGTTGTCATTTCTCTATTAGTATGTGTTTGTTCACTGTTATTTGTTTCATCACAGTTTCTTACTGTACTTATAGGTTTTCTGATGAACCAAGTATTATGAGATACATAAAGATTGCTGCCACCATACCTGAGAAAACAGTTCGAGATGTTGCATTGAGATGTAGATGGATGACGGTACGCTCTTCATTTTGTTGTTCCTTTTACCATAGTGGTTGCAATTATGTACTGGTTTGAATATTGCTCTGAATTGTGGTGTCTGGTTAGGACTCTTCTTAAATGAACATTTCAAGATTTTGCTAGCCACTTGATTGTTGTTGAACCAGAGCAATTATATAGGTTCTTATTATCTAGTTTTCTTCACATACATTTTATGTTGTTCTATGAGCTGCTGCCATAGAAACATTGGTAAATTTATCGTAGATGGTAGCTCTTATAGAGAGGCTCGAGTAGTATTGTTTTGGCTTTGGGCTATGTTTCTGCATCTAGTGGTGCATATGCACTAGGCAACGATCAAGTATATCCTTTTGCTGAAATACACTCATTCAAAGGTTGTAGGCTAGAGCTTTGGCCTAGTGTGATGGTGTAAACATGTTATGGATGGATACTTTGTTAGAGATCAGAGTACTATTCACTAGGGCTGTTTCTTAGGAGAATCTGCATTTCTGAATTAACTGAAGCTAATGTATTAGTCATCGTTCAGTAATTTCTCTTTTGCTGAAAACACCTCTTCGCATATCGGAGGGTATGAGGTGCTGTAGAATCCGTGGTAGACTATATTCCTTGTTAGTTTTATCATAGATATGCTTTTCCTCATCAAGAAAGTGACTGTTGAAATATTGGCAGCGAAAGCGAAGAAAAGCCGAAGACTATACTACTGGCAAGAAGTTCAATAATAGGAGGGTACGTGGCATTTGATATGATGTGAAATATTTTCTTTGTTCGGTGTAAATGTGGATGCTGGACACTACATGCTTCTGAATTATGATGAACTGATTCAAAATGTGTTTCCTGGGTACTGTTAACATTGTAATGATGTGAATGGAAATAGTTATTTGAGTAGGTATTGGATCTCTAATTTGTGTGACCTTGTGTTCCTGAAGGGTAGTTCCTTAATGAGATCTCTTTGTTGCTCCAAGTATGAAAAGCTGAATGTAAAACTGCTATTTATTCATACTCCTGTGTTTTGACCTTGTTTCCCAATGGAAGATTTTCTGGGATTCTTTCCAGTTTAAATCTTGATAATAGAGTTTTAACCTTTATATGTAACACTTGTTTTTACGCTACTAACTAAGTAGCGTACATATGTGAACTGGCCACTGGCCTATTATCTGAATGTACGGCAGTCTCACTTCCACACTTCATGAAACGAAAAAGGGACACGGTTTATATCTGTTTGTTATCATATTTATGCTTTTACTATACATCAAAGAACAACTATCCTAATTAGCACATTTATGCAGGAAAAACTAGTGGAGTCGTCATCAAAGATGATTGTGCCTTCGCCTCTGGCACAGAACTTGTCAGTCTACCCTCTGATGATGCAGAACATGAACCAGACTGCATCTTTGCCTTTTGAAGGTGTGAACTTTCTCAAAATTCTTCTGCATACCACTTAGTGTTATGTCTGTATGTATAAGCTCTAGTTATTGTTATCTTTAGGCTGCAGTCTATTTTTCTTGTTGCTCGCTTCTTTCACTTTGCTTTGCAATCAATTTCTACTAATGATTGTTTTCTGTGCTGCTGCTGTTCCTGTGACACTCATCAGATTTTACTTAAGTTTTTCTGGCTTGTGCTTGTAAAATATTACATGTCTAAATGAGGTGTTCCAAGTACACATAGTAGTTGCTTGCTTCTGTATGGTAATGTTTTGCTGATGCATGAATGGAGTCAAACATACACTCTCTCTGTTTTAGTATGTAAATTAGACAACTACAAATATTCAGTCTCATTCATTCTCCAAATGATTGTACTTTATAACATCAGTAGAGGAAAAAATTACTATTCATCTATATGATGGTGTAAAAAATGTCAAGTATTGGTCTATCAGGTGGAGGTGATGGGATTGCGATTTTCTTTCTGATGCAAGGAAAGATTTACAGAGCTGTGCTGTGGTAGATTTTCAAAATCAATTCAATGGGACATAGGACTCTAAATTTGTTTGATGGTTTGTTCCATAAGTTTGCTCAATAATCGACCACCACAATTTGCTACTTGTAGAGAACTCATTATTCACCTAAACTAGATCTCCGACTTTTCTGGTAGGACGTTTGAGGGCATCTTCCACTGCTCAGAATTCTACTAAAATAATTGGATTTGTAAATAGTTTCTGCTGTACAAGGCATATTTCAGTGTTTGTTGTAAGACTATAGGAATATCCAAGGATTTCTGTGTGTGTGTGTGTATAGATATATACATCACTTTTTTGTTCTGAGAATGACTCCAGGCCATTGGTAACATTGTCAGTGACCTGGAAGCAGCTAGATAGGTTGGGATAGCGCGTAAGAGACCTTCCCATCCAGCTGACTTTTGACCAGATTATGTATAATCAGCAACCGACAAGAATAAGATTGAAGTTGCCCGTAATGGCTGGCAACAGCAATCGTAGCTTTCATATTTGTTTTCTTGGTAGGCTAGTGTATGTTGTTAGTTGAACCCTTCATCTTGAAGGGTTGTCATTTCCTGGATGATCTGCATATTTCATCTGGCTGTTTCGTTTTTCGTTGTGAATGATCTTAGTTTTAACATAACTTTTCAGTTTCAGGAATAAGCGGTACATCTAGGCATCTTTTGGAGCAGAATATTCAAGCTTTTAGCCAAATATCAGCTAATCTTTCTGCATTCAAGGTGACAAATCTCTTTCTTTACCGTGTCTCTACTCTTGTATAATCTCTTAGGGTCCTTCTCTTTTTTCTTTCTCCCTCTCCATTTCCCTTCTCTGTTAATGTGTTATTTATGTCTGCACATCCTGTTTTGCTGCATTTCCTGGTAAAAGGAAAGGGTACTGGTGATTCTCTTGATCTGCAAGATATTTTTTGGTACTTCACACCTGATTCCACTTAGCTATTTAGGGACTTCCTATTGGGTTCTGTTAGCCACGTTAAATTTCCATCATGTTCCTGTTATGCATGATTTGATTCGTAGGTAAGATGGTATCTACAAAAGAGGCCAGAAATAGCTTCTGAGAAGGGAGAAATACTGTCACTAGTTATGCTTTCTTTCCAAGTTAAGTTCAACCAAGACAGGCCCTTGGTGTGGTTTTCTCTGGCCTTTGGTACATTAACTGTTAGATTTGCATGGCTTCCAACTAGGTCAACTGGATAGAATTGTGAAGTTTTGTGATGTTGCTATATAACAAATAAAGGGCATCTTTCTCTCTCTGAGTTACATATAACCTTTTGGGGCTTGAAGCTGCGTTGTAGCAGTTGGCAGTGGTGTGGTGTGGAGGGCGTATTAATTTATACCTTCCGTACTCTAACAGAGCTTAATGAAATGACAGCCATTACTTCAATCTCAGCCTACAAGAACACCCGATGCGTCTTGTTTAGGGGCCAGTAGTTTTTTTTCCGATGAAAAGTTTAGGGGTCGGTACTTGATGATGCATTAAAAATATAGTACTTTCCCTTAAAAGTATGATATTTATGTCAATAACAGAGGTTAATTGTCTTGCAATATAATGGTCCCTGCATTATTGTTGGTGCCCTTTTGCTGTTCACGAAGATTGTTACACTGCTTAGGAAAAAGAAAGTGTTATATCACAAGGGAATTATTTTTGAATATCTCGTTTATTAATTTACCAAACAGTTTCAGGAGAACATTGATCTCTTCTGTCGCACGAGGAACAATATCACTACAGTATTGAACGAGTATGTGGATTTGAAAACACTTTGCAAACAGTTGTTAATACAGCCTGTTGCTCTTCTTTTTTACCCCACATTGATCTCTTCAGTCGTCTGCTGATGTTGCAGCATGAGAGAAATGCCTGGTATAATGAGCCAGATGCCACCGCTACCTGTATCGATAAACGACGATCTTGCAAATAGTTTATTGCCTACTACAGCTCAGGTAAAACTGTCAAATTTCTTGCTGTCATGACTGTACAACTAAATGTCGAGCAAAGACGTGATATTTTATATGAATATTGATGTTGTAATTGCCTTTTGTGGTATGCTGGTGTGGCATGGCGTGTGCCAGTCAATGATGTTTGGGTTGCCTGGCGGGATGCAGTTGAAGCAAGAGCCAAGGTGTTAGCTGATGAGGGAGTTGATAAAGGTGGATTGACTAGGTTAATTATGTATGTGAGCAGGTCTGGTGGTGTATGTAAGTAGAAAAAATGATTTGGGCAACTTCATTTGGTGTTTGATTTTATTAACTACCCTTTTCTTTCTTTTGCCTCCCCCCAACCATTGACTCTGGATCTTCTTGGCATTCAATGTCATGTATCATGTGTGTACTTACCTATTGATCATACTTTGATGATTTTATGGGAGTAAAGAAAGAAAAGAAGGAAAAGGGCGGAGTATCATTTTGCAGCAGATGCAGGGTAAGTGTAGAAGTGCGCTTGTAATAGTCGAGTTGGTCTGGACCACCGCCGCTCTGATTTTGCCTCCTGGGCTCTTGATTTGCTTCTTTAAAGTCCATATATTTGCTTCCTTATTCGTCCTAAGTGTGCCTGTTTGTGAAATTTATAAAGAACTATACAAAAGGACATCATGTCGGCAGGGGCGGAGCCAGGATTTGCAAGTAGGGGGGCCGATTTTTTTTTTTTTTTTTTTTTTTTTTTTTTTTTGCGTATTATCATCCGATGTTAAGAAAAGTTAATTCATTATATAGAAGGATAAAATTAGCTATTTGTCATAATCGTCGAAAAATACGTTTGAGATAATTAAAAAACCTAAAGATACATCGAAATAGTGTTGGCCATGGCTGTGCTGAAGAGCTGTAATGGGGCGGGGTGGGTTCCTCATACCCATGTCCCACCTGATGCTACTTCCGGTTGAAGGCGGGTAGACCCACTCTTACATGTTATTTGAGAAAAATACATTGAAAATTTTACTTTTTACAACAAAACGAAGAGGAAACCACTTTATGAATGAAAAATACTGATAATAGAATGGGTAATTGAGTCTAACTAGTTGAAAGGTCAAATCTAACTAGTTCAAGAAAAATCAAAATAGGAGAAATAAGAATAGATATTGTAAGAAATTGTGATAGAGCCCCACGAAAAAAAAAAAAAGAAATTGTGATAGAATGTGCCAAGAACGAGGCGTGATAGATCGAAATTAGATATCCATGGCTCGCCCCATGCAACTGTGGATCGGATAATATCCGTCCCTTTGCAGGTTACCCGACCGGTCTGGTTCAAATTGTCATCCCTATGTGTGGATGAACAAGGGAAGCCACCACACCCTGATCCCATAGCCTTAGGCAAGGTTTGCAGAGGTTTAGATGCAAGTTATGGACCTAGTTATCATAGAATATTAATATAAGTTATCGAGCCCAGTTTCCACTTAATCTCATGTTGAAGAAATTCACGACCATGAACCCCCCAACGTGTACGTGCCAACCCCGTGAAGGTAAAGAACCTAGGATAGCCTCGAAGAAAGAGGAATTTGTAAAGTACTTGGCCTTATAGATCCTATCCAATAAAGAATATGCTTCTTTCAGTATCCACTAGCTTTACTTGCCAAGAAGAGCTTGATTAAATTCCTCAAATTATCTAAATCTCATAGCCCTTCTTGTTTACTAAAACAAATAAGCTTCCAAACAACCTAATGAATGCGCATTTCCCCATGTTTTGCCAATTTGCCCCCACCAAAAAGTGCCAAGTGTATATCCAAAGATTGACCCAATGATATAGAGAGTAGAATGCATAATGCATTACATTACATGAATATGAAGCGCACTTGTAATTAGGGCTGGTTATTTGGTCCCAGACTGTTTGGTTTTACCCGAAACCGGACCGGGACCAGACTGAGATCGGATAGCAAACAATCCAATCTTATATTCGGGCTTAGATTTGAGGTAAAAAACCCGAATAAAGACCGGATAAGAGACCCCCCAACACCTAAATCAAGATCAAATTGTGACCGAACTGAATCAAGACCAGACTATATCCAATCCAATCTTTGGTCCTTATATTCCCGAAAAGACCGGATTGAGACCGGATCAATTTGGTCCAATTTAACCGGACCGGACTGTATAGCCACCCCTACTTGCAATTGCCTTCAGTAGCGCCTTCTTAGCCGTCCATGAAAGGCATCGTTGTTGAAAAAAGTGAAACTTCATTTGGACCATAGCCACCAAATTTCAAATGAAATATGGGTACAATCTGAAATTGTACCATAACGTTAAAGGTACAATTTCAAGTTGTACTATAAAGACAAAAATCATAGCATTTATGCTATATAACATTGTAAAATTGCTCTTTAATTTTTTATTTATTTCTTGAATATCAATTTGAAAGTTAATTGTTGATGTTATTTTTTGATTCAAGTATGAATGTTTAGATATTTGTTTTATTGTGTGATTCAAGTATAAATTTTTGGATATTTTTGTTAAATGACGTATTTAAATCTGAATAATTTCATTTTGTTTGAAATGTTGTATTTTATTTAAATATGAATGTCTATATTTTAGAGATTGTCTACGAATATGTTATATATATATATACACATAAATTTATTTACATGTTTAAATAAAATCAGCATGAACTAGTCTAAATGGATTTTACTAGCGATCGGACCATACTACGTGCCAAACCGACATAACGCTACAAACCTGTTTGACAACTTTGCAAAAGAGGGAAAAAAATCCATCACTTTTTTCCCTTTCTTCGACTACACTATCAAAAAACAAAGCGCAACACTTTGGACATGAATGGGCGTTTGGTCTAGTGGTATGATTCTCGCTTTGGGTGCGAGAGGTCCCGAGTTCGATTCTCGGAACGCCCCTTTTCTTTTTTATTTTTTTTATTTCTCTTACCTCAAAACTCAAAGCCTTTGAGACAACACAAGTCCAGTACCCGCGTCTACAGGCGTCTGAAATTCGATCATCCACGGTGATCAAAGAGGAGGTAGACCTCAACCGAGCACAGCCGTTCCGTCGTCCTCTCCAAGTTCTAGCCGTACTCTTTGACTACCTATGGCGGAAAGCACACGCCGGTTGCCATCTTGGATGCTCGCTACCCCGCCGCCTGCTGCTAGCAGCGATGCCGCCGAACAACAACCCAAGACCAATACGAGCAAGGGAGGGCATCTCAAGGTTTCCCCGAGGAACGGCAACGCTAAAAAGAGAAAGAAAGCCAATCGAGACGAAACTGCAGTTTCTCAAACTACTCCAGGCGGCGATGGTGTAGTTGAGCCCCCGGGGGACGATCGCCTCCTCACGGTTCAAGACCTAGTCGCCATCGCCGAGGAGGTGAGTTGCCCAATTCGAAATTCTTTGAACTGTTGTGGTTTCAGTATATATGATGATTTTAGGGATTAGAATTGATTTCCTAATGTTCCGATTGTTTCCGGGATTCGTGTAGTACGTCAGAGCAGCTAACGATGTTGGATCAGAGAAAAATCCGTCTATCAAGGGAGAATGTCGATCACGAGCAGTCTCTTCCGGGATTGATTTGCAAGGCGGTGTTACTGTTAATAAGCACAATTCACCCGCCGCTTCTTGTAGCTCAATGCAGAAATCGACCGCAGAACAAATCCCCGTAACTGTCAGCACAACAGGGGATCCTGCGCACGACATGCTGCATCTCTTTCTAGGCCCCTTGCTCGCGAAACCGATTACGAATGAAAAGAACGATTTATCAAGCAGAATGGATTTGGACTTTGCTTTTGATGCAATGAGGCATTCTCACAATCATGTTGAGGCAGCAGCGGTCCCTCCTCCATTGAAAGAAAAGAAGAAGAGCAGTCTTAGAGACAAGGTATCCCTGTTACTTAACTGAATAGGACAGGATTTCCTATATGTTGCAACGGTGTAGTGTTTATGTCCCGTGAAGCGGAGCATACCGACTTGACATTGTTTGAAGGCCACTGAATCGCCTGATGTAATTTTACATGTTTGTCACCATGACTATTTGGCAGTAACACCTGCATGAGTAGATTGTGGCCTTTTTTCGCTGCTGTACAGGATTTTGACAAGCCAGCTTTTGTTGACCTTCTAGTTCATTTTCTAGTGCATGTCGAATTTCTGCTGTCTTTTTGGATTTACTCTTGTGGTTTACAGTTTCCTTCCGATGTACACAAAGTGAGTTTTAAAATAAAAATGGATAGCCCATGGTTTAATTAGTCTTGTTACAATGTGTGCATTAGACTGTTACTTGTAAGCAATGGATAGCCTCTCCAGACGAACTACAGGATCATTTATTGCTTTGCAATCAATATCTGTGCTCCGTTGTGCCAGTCCTCAACCTAAGAGCATACCCTTTGCTATATCTGTCAATCTCAGCTCACAGTGATACGCTACTACAAGCTGTATGAAGTGCATCTGTTATAGCGGAACTGTTTAGTATCTTGGATTTCCCGGAGCAAGCTTTCTGTTGCTTGTTTGACAGCTGATGCCTGTCCTAGAATCCCAAGGTTTTGGATAATATAATATATATTTTAGGAATTTGGAGCAGTTAAATCTTGCAATGCAATTCTTGTCTTGAAGCTGGAGCAGAAGTAATCATGTATTCTTGTACTTCTTGTCTTAGGTTATAGATCAGCATTCTATGAGAACATGGTAGAATGCTATCTTAATTTGGCTATCAAGATCTCAAGATGATTTACAGTATGATTTGGCTTGTCGGGTTTGTAGCATTGATTCTGTGATAGAATTATAAATAATAGGGATTCAATCACGACGATAACCATCTCCTCAGCTTTGCATTTGCCAACGCCTCTTATTTTACAGGTCTCTGGATTGACAAAGGAAATATGGGCAGATTTCTGAGGTTTGTAGACAGAAGCATGATCCCTTAGCATTTCATTTTAATATGCTTGAGAATTTACAGAGAGTACAATGAATATTTTCTGCAAATTATAGAGCTCCCAGTGACTATTTTCTGCAAACTATCACCGCATTGTGCTTGATTGTACACAGTTCAAGTGCCTCTGGTCAGCCAATGTACCTCATATTTTTCCTTCTTCCTATTCATTCTATGGATGCTACTCATTGCTTGTTGTTTCAGATGGGTTTTCATTTCGAGGATTAAATTGTGTCAATTGATGCTTGGATTGTGAAGGCAATCATTTGCAGGTAAAGGGATCTTTAGTAATGATGCTGGTATGAAGTGCTAGTCAATGTAAAGACAAAAAGGACGAAGATTGTGCCTGCAGGAACAATCTGTTTCAGACAGACTTCTCAGATTAACATAATATGCGACACGTTTGCTCCAAAAGATGCCCGGCTTTCTTGCTATTTCCTTCTTCTTGGATATTGATTTCCAAAGTGCTTGGATTTTTCTTTGTAACATCCATTGATGTCACTTGACTTTGGCACCCAGCTCGTGTTTCGTTTCCTCATGCTTACTGCATAACGATAGGTATGCATCATCATAATCATCAGGGCTGTCGTGTCAAGAGCTCCTTGCTTGTTAATTTTTCTACTTTTAATTACGAGGAATTTTTCCTTAATGTTTTCGTCCATCGCAGGCAGATCATCTAACTATCGATGTGTGCTCTCATTATGCGATTTTCACATGTTATATGATGATCATCTCCACGTTCTCTGGGTGATGCTTGATCAGCCAATGATTGCTGTGGCTCTCTGTTTAGGCAGGTATTATCAGAAAGATCATCATTATCATGTTTTAAAATGCCTCTTTCATCAGTGTCTTGTTAATTAATATAGAATAATATTTTTCTCATGCAACTAAAATCAAAGGAGAAGCCTTCCTTTTCATAGAAGTAACCACAGCCGGCTGGTTTGCGGTGTTTACTATGTCAGTACGTGCGCTTTAGTTTAGATGTTGATTTGCGTTATATCTGTAGACGGTTTGACCGAGGTTCTTTTTCTCTTCCCTATCCCCTTGTTTCCCTGGGGAAACTCCAACTGTTTTACGAAGGTACCAAGGCTACTGAAGTTAACAACGCAACTCAGAAGATGAATCAGTTTGCACTCAGGAATAAGGGTGGATTCACGAAGTTTCTTTTTATCCTTTCTCAAGAATTCCAACCTCTGTGGGAACCCACTAAAACTACTCCGGAAGAAATCGGCTTGGGATCAGGAAGAAGTCAAACTTCCCTTATTTCAGAAGAATGTAAGAGTGGATTCTCTTCTCTGCTGTTCTTTTTTTTGTCTGTCATTCCTTGTCGGTTTTCTTATGCTGAATCATGCACGAAAATGTTCGCTTCAATCCTTTATTTTTAGTGCTGTGATTTTTTTTAATTATCTGCACCTGTGTCCTTTTTCTTACAGTTGATGACAAAGGCCCAATTGCAATCTTACAACAATCTGCTTTCACATGTCCATATCCACGTGTGGGTGGTTTTGATATCTGTTTTTTCTTGCTCGCGCATGTGGAAGGGAAGAAAAGGATGGTATCATTTATTCTAATCTTAATTGACATTATTCTCTACACGAATCAATTTGCTGCAACAAATACTGCATACATATTACCCAAGTTACATTCTATGGCTATGTTCTACTATATTATACACCTCACTTTTGGAGTTTTGGCTAGTGTGTGTCAAAGGTTGATAAGGTATAGACATCTGCAGTGACCAATGACCGTTAAATTTGGGTGGATGTTTGTTCTTGTGTAACTTAGGCTAGCCCCTGAACTGTTTGCTTTCGGGTTCTTCTTTACATATATTTTCCATGTAGAAGCTGCCTGCTTGCACATGGTGTCTGTGATTTTCTGTGCTATAACCGAAAGCTTGGTAGGCCTATCTTATAGCCATATTTCTTGACTTGTTCTTGAATCTGGCTCCTGTACTCTCCGAAAGTGAATTTCCTGTACTTGGATGGTTCTCTGCAACTCCCGATTGATGTCTCGTACGAAGGACACAAAAAGTAGGCAATAGAGTACCTTTCCATCTTAGCGTTGGCCATAACCTTGTGCTCCACACTCTTATAAATGTCGTTGCTCCATGCCTGCGGTTATCATTGTCATAACGAAGATATTAGGAAACTAATTTAAAGACAGAAACAGGGAGGTGAAGTTGGGAAAAACAGAGAGAATGCCAACAAAACTAAAACGTCAGAATAATGACCAAATTATTTTTGTAAGAATAAGCATATGATTTCCTCTCATATTACTGTTATTTACTATTATGGTCCGCTTTGTTTACAGGATTTGCTTATCAAGAATGAATGTGAAATGGTGGCACCTGAGGATTAATCCCATTGCACAGGTATTTGAGGCAAGTTTGATTACAATAAAGAAACGCTGGCAGCAGGTGTATGTTTTTACCTGGAAAAGATCTCCAATATTGACTATGAGTGCATCTTGATTAGGTTTTACAGCCACCCATCTGGAATCCTTCATGAGCTGAAGCCCCCCAACTTCATCTTGAGACAGAATGGTGAGAAAATCACTATCAGTGTGAGGCACCAAGCCAAATACCTCTGGGGAAGTTGGACAGGCTGGGTATCGGTTGAGGCGCAGAAAGCAACTGCTTTCTTGACAAATGTCTTCGAAATCCCCCCTTGAATGGCCTAAGTTTTCAACCAAGACCCCTGCAAGTGTTCCAGCTAGCTCGGCCATTGCTGCTGCGAATTCCACCATCACTTCCCTGATGAAGAAAACAGGAAAGAGAAAAAAAAGAGAACATCAGAGTTTGTTGTGTTGGAAAAGTGCGAAATCCTCTGTTTCCCCCCTTTATTTCTTTCTCTCTTTTCTTTTTTGCTTCTTTCATTTCTTAGTTAAGCTGAAGTTCAGGGTTTTGCAGGATGAAGAAGTAAGTGGGCGAGAAGAAATCACAAGACTTTTCTATCTATAGCTTTGCAACAAGCACCTTAAAGAAGTGAAGTTGTCTCCGTAGCAGTCCTTGTGGGAGACCTTGGAGAGAGGAACATGGAAAGCCTCGGACCATGACAACTGCTTGGGACAGGTAGCTGTGGGCGTACCCCATCTGTAGGAATTGTTGAGCAGCCCGCCACTGACCTTGTCGTCGAAGGGCAGTCGGAACAGCCTGGACTGCTCGCTCCTCATCTTCCTAACGAGCCCCGGGTTGATCCCGTGGTTGACGACCTGGAAGAAACCCCACTCCGACGAGGCCCTGCATATTGCAGCCGCACAAGCTGCTCTCTCCCTCTCGTCGCGGCTGCCGAGACCCCTGAGGTCTATCAGGGGCAGCTGGCATTCTTCCATTGCAGCAGCAATTGCTGAGGCCGCGGGGAGAGGATGGTGGTCGGAAGGCGAGAGGCGGGAAACCTGCTCGTAATGGCGAAACAGAGGAGGGTTGGTGGTCTTGAGCATGGTTTGACGAACGAAAGAGGGGTTGAGTTAGGGAGAGGGGAGAAAGCTGGTGGTGTTGGTGAAGGAGAAGAGGGTTAATAAAGGAGAAGAGAAGTTGGGCGGGAGGGAGAGTTAAGTTATGTAAGAGAGAGCATAAACAAGGAGAAAAGAACAAGAGGAAGAGAAGGAAGGAAGGCCTTCAAAATCACGACAGTTGGCAATTGGAGCGCATTTCACTCTGGAAAGGTCTATGCTTGGCTTGCTGCTGCTGCCTCCGACTTGGTCTATGACGTACACAGGTACCATTTCGATTGCATTTTCCTCCTTCAGTAATAAATAATTAATAATAATATACAAATTCTGCTTTATTTCCAAGATTTTTCTCTCCTTAAAACAACAAAAGGTGGAAAAAAAGGAACGAGTAGGGGCGAAGAGCCCGAGAGCGAGAGAGAGAGAGGCAGAGGCAGAGTTTTCTGAATGGCTGGAACAAACTATATAAAAATTGCATGGAAAGGAATCGAACCCGCTTTTCTTCTTTATTTTTAAATTGACTCTATTTTTTTGGCAAAAGAGGAAAGGTGGTTCCCATTGGTGGGTATATTGAGGCGGGGGATTTGGCATTTTCCCTTTCTAATCATCATCATTTTGTGGGGTTCTACTTCAAACCCCCCAACCTCACGAGGCAACGAGGATGACAATTGAAGACGAATTCATAGCGTATTACGAAAAAATTCGACCAGTACCTAAAAATGAAAACAATAACATTTAGTATTTAAGCTTAATCAGATTGGTGTTGTTAGTTTAATAACATTATAGTTCTGATAATTTTGATAATTTTTCGATGAAAAAATTATTTACGGCTATATCTATAAAGACATGGTTACCAACGCATTTTTGTTGTGAGTATTCATTGTGTTAGATTGTATTTAATCTTTTAAAATCCAGTCAAAATTTTATCGAGTTCTTTTGTAAATTCACTCCGTGAATTGAATTTTAACTTTAGAGAAATCCGATTTCTTGAGGGGCAATCCACCCATTGCCGACCATAAGGAAAACTCCTCCCACCTTTTCATTTGTATATATATAAGAAAGTAAAAAGGTTTCCTGGAAGTAATGAATAAAATTAAAACTGAAGGAAAAGCTGCTTTCTCCTTTCATTGTCCAAATCAAATTTGGTTCCCCTTCCCAGTTCCCAATGTTCTTTCTTTTCTTTCTTCGTATATTCTCGAGAGCTGCCATTTCGGGTACAGTTTTCTGGTCTTGTATTGTGACCGAAACCAGAAAGTTTTCGCAACTTGGTTACTAATGAGCTGAAATATTTTTTTTCCCTATAATTAACAGAATTGATCTTACTTGTGCGTAGTTGTACTTGATGGAAGCTTGCAAGAGAGAAATATATAATTTATTTATTTTGTAGGATTTCGCTGCATTGCTTTTATGACACTCTGGATTCGATTCATGATTTTCACTCTGAAAAAGAATTGAAGCTCTGTTATGGATTCTGTCAATGTGTAGGTATAATAAGTTTGTCCATATTGTGGCAAAAAACATAAAAAAATCTTCTTATCGTTGGATTGTCCAACATTTATTTCTCATTTTACTTTGTTATTTGACTTGCAAAGACCTTATACACATATATTTTGTATCTTGTTATCTCCTCCACGCGAAATACCTTTGGGGAAAAAATTGACTTTGACTGGATAAGTCTAATTCACATAATGAACCGACATGCCCTCTATGTTGTTAGTTCCAAAAGAAAGACTTGTCTCCCAAGCTATATGTTCTTGGATTCCTCCCACCCAATACCTGCATGCTAATCAACAGTGTGTAAAATAGAATATTAATTGGGAGGGCTGGAAAGTTGATCAAGGGCTTTTATATAGGTAGGTAGAAAGTCAACAAATTAATTGTTTTCCACCTTATTTATTCGTTCTTCTTTTTCGAACCATTCTGATTTATAGACTTCAGTGTGTTGCGTGCCTTTATCAGAGATTGTCCCCTCAATCAATTGTTTGGACAATGTTTGTTTTAAAGAAAAACAATTCTGGGACAATGTCCAAGGAAAGCAGCTGATGTGTTCCCTTGGAAACTCCCCAGAAATTCAGAAACAACATATTGGGGTGTGGTTACTTCTATTTTGGCTATGCTTCTAGGAGGTTGTTTGCTTATAGTATTGTAGAAAACGAGGGATTATGGTTAAAATTTGAATTTTAGATATGAGGGGATTATGTAGGATTTTGATTAATTTGGATTTGTGCTGGATTAACAAAATTTCACGTTTGTTTATAGGATTTAATAATGGATTTTGGAAAATGAGATTTATTCATCGAGGTGAAGCATTTTATTTTATTTTGTTTTTTATTTGTGTTGTATATGCATCTATGTTCTCTAGCATATGCACAAACAAAGCAAGTAACAAGATCCATTAAAACAGGCTCGTTTGCTTGTTGGATTTTAAAATGAAGGATTTTGATTTTGAAAATCTTTGGATTTATGATGGATTTGTTGCATTTTGTATTTGAAAGATAACATTGTTTGTTTAGTTGAATTTTTATCATGGATTCATTTGGTATTTGGGTCTAAAAAATTTGCCTTCCATAATGTTGTATTTGCAAATACCAAATGAAATGTGGTATTTGCAAATACGTGGGGTACACGGATTTGGAGCTAAAAAAAATGGTCCAAATTCGTGGACCCCACAGATTTGCATACCTTAACAAACAATGGCTTTGGGCAAAAAAACATTATGGTTGGTATTTGGAGATCAAATACAACATCCAAATCCCATGGATTATGAAGATTATCCAACATGTTTGGGATTTTGAAAGAAAATTCATCATCAAATCCTAGAAGCAAATGACCTCTAAGTTAGAACGTGTTAGTAAGGGTGGTTTTCAAGCTTTGAAATGGTGTATTAAAAATTATAGGCAAAATATATTTGTATAGCAAGAATTTTTAATCATTACAACCAATTTTCCTGATAATGACAAATATAACTATATTTAATCGTTCGTTCAATACTTGTAAGAATTTTTCTTAGAAAACTTAACAACGTTAAAGAATAAGGTGCGTGAACATACATGTAAGCACATATGTACTGCATGTCAATCGCAAATAATCCATATTTTTATTATTTTAGCTACGTCAACTTAAATTACTGGAAATTCTTACAACGCCTTCAACCAAGGTAACTTGAAAAATTTGAACTGCTATAGCAGGTTTCACAGGTTGTATTACGCAATACGAATTAGTCATCACATAATATTTACGTAGCGTATGTTTGCCTTACGTAATAGTTGTAAAATCGTGTTGCATAAAAGATGACATTTTTACGTAATGAATATGGTGTGACATTTGTGATGGTTATTCAAACGATTGCATGGTTGTATTAACTAATCCCTATGAAGCCAAGTATAACTCAAGAAGACGTTGTTAATATAGTGGTCGACCAAGGTCGTATGCCACGAGTCTCGATCGCATAGGTTACTTCTCATTTTATTGTTATCTAGTCGTTCGGTTTAGATTTGTTTTTGGAGGAACAAATGGTAAATACTAGCTTAAGAAAGCAGAGATAAAAACAGGTACTCAGGGCATCACCCTCTCCCTAGAATTAGAATATAGGTCTATCATGCAAAAGGTTAATAATGTTGGTTTGTGCAAACAAGGTGCGGGACTCACTTATATAGAGACTAGCTCAATGTTTATGCAACTAGTCCCCTCCTAGCATGTTCCACTGACCGAATGTCACCTCGATCATGTGTCTTTTTCTATCACTATGGAATAAACTCCATCTCACTTGGGTGTGTGGATTTCTAGCCATGTACGTTAAGAGTATGATATTGAATGACTCCTATACTTGTTACACTATTGATTATATATTGAATTGAGATATTATCATGAAATTGATTAGGTATGGATCACACTCTTCAATTTTAGCTATTGACCTAAGGTAGAGAATATCCAATTAGGTTGATTACATCATCTTCAATTCCTCATTGTGGGTCAGTTGAACAAGTTTGATATTGGTCTATAATGTCGTATTTGATCAAGGTCCTTCAGTGAGAGCTGAATTATACGCCTTAGGTGTTATACTTTCCAGCTGTAGAAACTCTCCCTTTGGGTAGTTCATTTCAGTGGGCTTGGATAACTCGAATAAGGTGTTCAAGTTAGTATAGAGCTCTTCGCGGTATAAATCTAGAGTGGGCAAGCTAGGGGAAGTCAACATAAACCTAATTTAAGGCTAGAGATAAGCACACCCGAGTGATTTTCGTACAATTGAATTCAAATCAATCTTTCTTTGCTTTGCATGTTTAGTGGCTTAATCCAAACCACATCTTGTTAGCTAGATAACGATTAGTGCACCAATTCGTAGTAAACTTAAAGCCCCTGTTGATAAATTAAACTTACTTACACCATACTACACCTGACTGGAGGTGATACTTGGCCTTCGATTGAAAGAGTAGTTAGTAGTGAGTCAAGTTCTTGGCAAAGTGAACTATTGTTAATTTAGTATTTACATTTTGTTTTATTTTGGTTTTGCTTTTCACGGGTGTGTTGTTTGAGGTGTACTACTGAATCGACTCTAACTACACATCCCAATCGACGACCAAGCATAACACGACCAAGTGTAGCATAGGGGTAAGCAAGAAAAAAATATTGTACCACTGGTCTCTAGATGTACCATACTTCACATTAAGTTTTCGTTATATAGCCAACCTAGAATGGTGATTCAGAAACTAAGCTAACTAACCACTATCCTAGCTGATTACAAGTTTTGGAGCTCTCTCAGCTTGAATCTCCCTAGTTCAGTCATTTGGACCGATGTTGAGTGTTATCCTAGCTTGATTGACTTTATCCATCTACTATTTAGGAGCTATACTCCCTCGGGTATTGACTCCGAATGGCTTAGTAGTGAATGGTAATGCTCTATTCAACCTAGGGGTTCATACAACGTCAAGAAATTGACTCTATCGACTCCCTCGGGGATTACCCAGAACGACATATGATTGGAGTGACCCGAAGACACCAATAATGGGCTCTACGGGGATTATCTTCCTCCTAGGCCAAAAGCTCAATTGACATGAAATGGAATCCAAACTCATGCAATCCATGAAAACCATCCATCAACTAAACAAAATGATCAATCAAACATATGATATGTTACATAACATCAACATCATACCAAGATCTATACCTAGGGTAACGTAAGAGAAGAGATCTAATTCATAGAGAGAAGAGAGAGATTACAAAATACTGAAAATAGCTTAAGATCTTCATCTGCTTCTTCTTCTAGACTTGAATCCTTGACTCCAATATCAACCCAAGCCTCCAATTTAACTCCAAGATCACTCAATACCACTCTCTCTAGAAATGCCCCTTTGGGCATTTTGGGTATGAACCCTAAAGAAGAACCCCAAAATTCCATACCCAGCCAAGCTATCCCTTTCTCTCTCCCAGATGCTACATTTTATACAACCTGAGTGCAGTTGTCAAGGTCTGGGATCACGGTCGTGATCTCGACAGCCCTCTCATGATCTCGACTGAAGACACTGTCATTTTGGCTCCTACTTAATAGTTTCCTTGCAAAGATCACAGTCTGTGACTATGATAATGAATCTGCCTACGAGCCATCCGAAGTTTCCTGGAAGCATACACAGATCACGCCCTGGGTGCTATGTTCACGTGTTGTGACCATGATATTTACTCCCAGTCCGTGATCTCTACACTTTCTTCATACTTTGTCTCTTTCGACCTCCAATCTTCCTGAAATCATCATCGACCTTTCCATACGTTCTAGGACCTGAAATATGTCAAAAGGAACACAACCTAGCGCAAAATAGTTCGAGAGACGATGATTACCAAGTCAAACAATCGAGACACGAGGGATAAAATATGTGTAATTATGCTCGAATCAAACTCCCCCACACTTGAACGTTTGCTTGTCCCAAGCAAACCAAGTACAACACAAGGTAAGCTACCAACTTCTTTATTAAAAACTTTAAGGGCATTTTATAGTGGCACAAAACATGTGAATCACAATGGCTACTTGACACTAACATATGGACAACAACAACAACAACAACAACAATAATCCTGATAACCACCACAAATGACATTCGAATGCAATAGAACCTTGTAAAGGTAGAGTTCTCACCTTGTTCACAAACCAATACATAACCTGTCTAAACGACTTACCAAATACAGTCATTCATGCATAAAGATCAAGTCATCATAACAAACGACCGAGCAATCTAGGTCCTCACCGGGGTACATGATAATATGAAGAAAGAATCGCTCATTCTCGACCATATGTGCATACTCATACGCTCAGCCCTATCGTCTCTTCACATGACAGTAGCCTCTAAATGCTAGAGTTCGTAAGATGGGTCTCGCTACTAGCTTGTCTGGAGGTCTTAGACTCGGGTTCAAATGAATGGCTTAGGTCTAGGACATGGAAAAAGGCTTTTTGGGTTGTGGCACATGTAGCATGAGGTTCCAAAGTTTC